GGTCCAACAGACTCCATAGCCGGATGGATGGAGACAATGAAAGTCATGGCAGCAAACCGACGGCACTTGTTGTCAGTCCAAAATGCTTGAAATAGTATGTATACACATTTGGACTGTGCACTCTTTGTTGACCATAGAGGTTCACCTTTTCCCGTTCCTAAACGTTGGCCCAATCCCTATCCCCCATACACATGCTCACTTATCTGGTATGCGTTATGAGTTTGACATCATCATCATCGTACAGCGAGATACAGTGAAGCGAGCTTCACTGATCGCTGCCAAGTTTGACAGCGATCGGTAATGTTCGCTCCACTCTGTTACGCTGTACAATGGTGTTGATTATGACAATCCCTCTGTGTATTTCTTCGTGCCTCGTCTCCACGTCATCTGCTGACCTTCACATGGCTTTTTTAGATAGCTAACACTATCTACGATAACCAAACACGATTTACCTCAACAATCGAGTATGACAGAGCAATACGGCTATTGCTCCGGACGAGTAAGAAGACGGGTAGCTCGTGACCAAAGGTTTATAGGATCAGACCTGCAGTGAAAGGTTTACACGTGTAGCGATGCAGCGTGATTCACCGGGACAATTGACAATGCCGCGGTTGAGCGTAAACAGGTAAGGTGCACCCGGTAAAACAAAAGCTCGTAGCGAGTAGAAAAGAAGTCGTAGGTAAAAGGTGAAAGTGGCGTGTCACTACACTTTCTCTAGTTTCCATCGGCCACTGCAGACAGCACAATGCGGTGGACAACTGTCAAACGTACTCAAAACGTGTCCTAACCAACGGAGGTCACTGAGCTCAATTCGATGTGATAGCGAACTCGTGTTCGATTATGGTTATTTTTTTACATTATTATGGTTATTATCGTGACAAAGGTCGACGTCACTGGCCTTTTAAAACAATTCATTTATCTCCTCACTTCCGAGGCGAGGGATTACTTCCTACTGCCTTGCAGTTCGTACTTGGTTGTGCGAAGGCTAGAGGTGTGCCCTCGAATAAAAAACGCAAAATGACGCTGGGGACGTCTCTGGTACCAAACTCCCAAGTAGCTTCATGTCTCCTACGAGCTTCGCTAATCATGATACGGCGTACCCGGTAAGCGACGTGCTCCGCGCTCCTCAAGTGGTCGGGGTGTCAAGAATGCGAACTGGACTTCCTAAACCTCTTCAACTTAGAACGCATCTCTACGTGAGATACTGGAATTGAGAACCTTCTTGGACATCTGGAGTCAGGCAGTGACTATGCGCATGTTACACGACTATCGCGTAGATGTTGCATGTTTATCCAGCTCCGGCTTCCGTAGCATCAAGGTTCCCGGTTCTGATAGCCACCACTATTTTTACCGTAGTGGCCCAGAAATTTCAGGTCAACAGGGAGTGGCGTTAGCGCTGAGCAAGCGTACCAACGCTACCCTAGTCTCTTGGGAACCGGTATCATTAAGGATAGCTGTAGCACGCTTCAAGTGTAATCCTATCAGCCTCACCGTGGTAGTTGTTTACGCCCCCACTCTACCATCCGACAGTGTAATGGAAGACGAGTTTTACGGTAGTCTTCAGGAGTTAGTGAATCGCGTCCCAAAGATAGATGTACTTATCGTGGCGGGAGACTGGAATGCTCGAACAGGTGGGCAAGGACCTTCTACAAAACCTATAATGGGGGAATTTGGACTAAAACATTGCAGCAAAAACGTCAGGCTAATTAATTTCTCCCCATTTTAACCGGTTATTTACAACCAACATATTTCCAGCACCACAGGAAGCATCTTCTTATCTGTAACTCCAGCGACGGTATAACAGCCAAACAGATCGACGATGTCTTGATACGGTCACGCTGGATCTCATCAGTAAAAGATTATAAATCGTACCGCGGTTCCGAAGCTGGTAACAGAGGTTCACGCGAAACTTCGCCTTCGGCTGACTACTTGTGTTAAGACCACCACCCCAAATCGCATCAACCTGCGCCCATTGGAGTATCGCGAGAAATCAAAAACACTGATGGATGAACTTGAAACCCGACTGGTAAATGAGTCTGCCCCACCGGTCAATGTAGCAGACTCCACTGATGTGCAGTGGTCCAGGATAAAAGCTGCAGTACAACAAGCTGCACGAAACAAACTTGGTATCACAAAACGCTGCCACAAAGATTGGATATCAGAGAAAACCATCCGTCTCTCAACCCTGACCAGGGATGCCCGTCTAGCTGAACACCACGATTACCAGCTACTCAGACGGGAAGCAACCCGCTTCGC